AAATACAACACAATATAACATATATATATTTGCATACAAATACAGCACTTTTTAATTTATTTCGGCACAAAGGGTTGTGTGTGGCATGTTCGTTATCTTTGCTGTATGCTCTTACTTTTATTAGGTGCCTGCGAATTGCCAAATTTCATGATAACAAGCATAAAGTGAATTTTATGGCACAAAAACGGAAATTATTTCAAAATTTGTTGTTGCGTTGCTAAAGGTTTCATTAATTCAATTCATTTTCATATTTTCATTTCGAATGTAATTTTTAAAAAATCTCGAAAAGCTCGCTTTAATAGCTTTGGCGTCAACAAAATACACCACGACTGCATTCATTCGCATGCGAAATACGCGCACACTGTCAGCTGGTTGGCATGCCGTAAGCACAACGTTAACTACGCCAACACAAATTAGGTTCACTGATTGAAATTAGGCTCAGAGGCCACGGAAACGACCGCCACCGCAACCGCAAGTGCAAATGACCCACATGTCACCACTTAGGTGATATCCCTGTACACCAACTGACTGGCATTTGTGGAGCATGGCGGCGTTTAGAGTGCAACGGGCAGACACGGAGTTGGTTTAAAATTAACCAAATTGTGCAAAATTGTTGCAACACAAGCCAACGAGTGAGTGCGTGTTGGTCATATAATTATATGCAGCGCTTTGCTGTGTGAGAGCTAAATGTATAATGCAATGTGCTTTGAATTATGTGCGCTTGCAACTAATGTTCGACTACTAGCCGCGCTTTGGCGAATTTGCATAAAAACAGCCGAATTTTTTTATGAGTTCGTTGCACGCAAGTTCTATTGATTGATGGATGTCAGTTTGTAAACATATATTCTCACAAAATATAGTAATAATATACTGAGGTTATATATATACATATATATAATTTATATTGATACGTATCCAGTTGCAAATCTGTAAATACACACTTACGTGTGATAATCAATCGTTTAAATAGGTGATTTATCACTGGTAATGATTTATGGCTCGCATGTGACATGCGCTACTCGCAGCCACTCTCGAAATGATATTACCATGGCTCATAGCAAGAACTTGGTTTGTGCTTAACTTGAAACACAATGATTTAATTGAAATTCAGTGAATGCACATTTTATGCAAACCAATATATTATCACTTAATAAATTACTTTTAATGTGTGGGAAAGAGATTATAAATAAAACGCTTCACTCCCAACAGCTGCTGCAGCTGAAAGGCGGTTGGAGGCGGCAAATTAAGCGAGATAGTCAATTATTTATGTTGCATACGAAATCTAACTAAATTACATCAAACATTACGATTAGAGAAATTTATAGTTCTGCGCCGCATTGTTTACAAATTGCACTGCTTGAGCTGCCGACACAAAAGCATTATAATAAAGAAAACCCAAGAAATGTGGCAACAGTGTAATGTATTGCTGGCCATAAAATAAAAGGTCACCGCCAGACATGCAAAGTATTGAGGCGTGTAACAACTTAATGAGCTCAGCGACGGCGCCAACGTCTTCGGCGGCTATGCGCAATAAACCCGAAATGTGTCGCTCGCCGTCGTCACTCATACGCCCGGTGCGACGCGTCACAAATGACATGCAGCGGCAAGCAGGAGCTACAAGGCAGCTTGAAGTTTGAATTATAAACAAAGTTGCATACACAAATTTGTTGCCAGTTTGCTGTAACGGTACAGCTGGCAGTTCAAGCAAGCGCGCGCAGTGAGTTCGGTCTATTGGCAGTTACGCACGATTGTGTGCACAACTACGTGTCAAAGTTAGTTGGACAACAGCTTCAATGCCAACTCTTGTGTGAAGCAGATTATGCTCGTTTCATTTACGAAGACTTCAAACGCAATACTTGCTATGCAGACTATTGGCACAGAGCGCTCTGTGTTTTCACACGTGTGTAAACGCATACATACTAACTATAACTAATACGGAAAACCAAGAAACTCTGCCCTGAAGCTACCTAAATCACTCGCCATGCGCTAACGTGTTGACATCGCCAGGACATAAAACAATTTGCAGAGTATCATTTGCTTAAGCACAGCTAATTTTCGCTCGCCAGAAACTTTTTTTGCTAGCAAATCGTTGTTAGACTTTGTGGTCATTAGCGCGATGATTTCGAGAAGCTAATTGTTGCATATGCTATTATTCCCGCATTTATGGCCTCCCACCGACAACTAAACGAACACACTATCCCTCTCGCGCAAACTCTCTTTCTCTCTCCAGTCACGTACTTTCTTGGCACAATATTTAACCACAAAATGACTGATCTAAAGTTAATTACTATTTAGCCTGTGTGCGATTTGTTTGTGAAGCGTGCGACAGTGCGTATGAGTGCACGCGCATGGCGCTGCATATGGCATGACCAATGTATGCGTGTGTGTGCGTCAACTCAACGCAGCAATTTCGACTTGGTAAATTTATGATAATGGGTAAACATTTGTATGCATTTGCGCATTTGTATGTGAGTGTGTGTGTGTGCGTACTAATTTCATTATACCATTTATGCGCAGACAAACTTATTGCTCTCAATTTTTTGTTGTTGCTCGTTTTCTCAAGTTATTTGTTTGGTCTGCAGCTGCTGACACACACACAAACACACATGCATTTGCGTATACACATTGTATTCGTTTATGAGTTTGTTTGTCAGCAGCTTTGATTGATTGCGCTGAGGCATTGACGCCCGCATTCTGGTTGACTCCACACTTAGCAAGTCAGCGTCGTTGCACGCATTTGTGGCAGCGATAGCTGCGCTGATTTGTAATAAATAAGTGAGTTGCTAACTCCGCTCATAAATCAGGAGAAATACTTTTTGAAATATCGCTTCCTCAACGCGCCACATTTTGTGTTTAAATAACTTGCGATTATTCCAAGTTGACTGCCATTTTCATTTCAGGAATAAAGTTACAAAATGACTGCACCAGCAGGCGAAGACTTGCCACCTGTTTATTGCATACAAATTTATGTATTTTTCGACCGAAATAACGCTATACATCATAAACACGCCGAGTTTTATTGGCTTCAATGCCTTTTATTAGGCTATAATTTTGCTATTCTCAGCAACACTGCTAGCTTGTATTTAGTCTTTACATATTTACTAGTATATTGATGCGCAAAAACAAAAGAAAATATATCACTTCAACAACAAAACAGTTGATTTATTCATTTCTGCACTTGTTTGCTCATCAAAAATGCTTGGCAATCATATTTATTGACCGAACATATTATATATACTATTTAATTGTGAATTAGTTAATTAATTCATGGATCTAATTTATACTTCTATTGTATTCGGGTCGTAAGCTGTCATGAACATGCACACAAATTATTGTGGGATAACAAATTTAGTTGAGTGGAGCTCTGAAGCAGACACACGCTAATAATAGACACTAGTTGCACGTCATGAAACAATGGCCAATCATCAGCTTTATTGAAGTTAGCAAGCACATATTTTTTTCAAAAGATGTAGAACTTTTTCAGATCTTAAGCGAATTAAAATTTTTTTACAAATAAATAAATAATAATTAATTTATTATTTAATTTAACCTATATATTTTTAAATATGTTGAAAAATCTAAACCGTTTTCTTGCACTAAAGTCTGTGAAAATATTTAATTAATTACCACATTAAGTGACACGTGAACCACTTCGCTGAATGATGGAAAACTAATAAGCAAATCAACAGCAAAATAAGGTTTTAATAACTATAAATTAGGGGAGCAAATAGGTCACAAAACTACTAAACTTGACAGCAGATTTTTAAAAATAATAAAAAATTTTTTAAAACTTAGTTAACTAAAATTTAGCTTGTCATTTATAACATAGATAAGCTACCGCTTTGCTTGTGTGCGCATATAAGCACACATATAACTGGCAGATAACTCTTAAGCGCCTAAAAGCAGACTACCAGTACGGCAAATTCAATTACCTACACATTGATGTGTTCATTGACTGATTTGTTAACACCACAAACAACGTTAAATACTTCAAGCGAACTGCCGCTACAACACAACAGCAAAACAACAACAACAATCGCATGCACATGCATAGCCAATTAACGAACGTCATAATAGCAATGATCGGAAATCAAATCGAGTAAGTGAGCGTGAGTGTGCTTCAATACGAGTACGCACAACTAAGCATGTGTTTGCGTGCACGTGTGTGTGTGCGAATCATGTGGTTTTCATATATAAACAAATTAACTCAGAATTTCGTTTTATTTACTTTGAGCTTTTGCTTATATAATTACATACCCTTCATGTGGGGGCGCATACCCGCTGCCGCTCGCTTCACTGCGCCTACGCTTTACCCTGCTATGCCATATCGTGGCAAACGAGCCGCCATTTGCACATACTCGAACTTAATTTGGTGCGTCTGTGTTGGTGGTTCAATCAAATGCAGGCGTGTGAGCGAGTTTGATTGTGGAAGACGGTGTTACACCTTGCAACACGCTGTTCGATTTAATTCTGCACTTTCAATGAATTGGAATACCAAGAAGCCACAAAAGCGCAAAAATTGCCTTCACTTCAAATCAAGGCTCCTACGACCAACACACTTAAGCGCACTTGCGGTGCGAGTTGCGAAATTTCAAAATGCGGTGACAATATGCTACAGCATGAAATGGACTTTGCTTCAAGGAAATGCTCATTTACTCTCGGCACTTTGCGAAATCTCAGCGCGTTGCCGCTCCGGTTAGTCAATTTTGGTTTGAATTTAAAGTCTAAGGAAATGGCTCTCTCTTGTGTGTCAACTAACCCAAATATAGATCCCCATACTAAGCGAAGTAGTGAAGCATATTAGAAAGGCACCAGTGACTCTTAACTCACAACAAATGAATTTTTTACAATATCTGTTCTGATCTGTTGCTGATGCTTATCGAAATAATTGTAATATATTTAAGCATGCTAAGCAAGAACTTCTGCTACTTTATATTTATGCTTGCCATTAAAAGTACCGCAATAATTTTTCGCTCGATTTTCGGTTTCTTTCTTTTCAGCCACTTCCAGCAGCCACAATAGTAATTATCCTACTGCATGGGCAATTTGACTTCTTCGAGCGCCACGTCGATACACATTAATCCCAGAATGGCTGACAATGAAAACCGCAATCACAGGCACAGTTACAAAGTCACCGATCAGCACAGCGATGACGAATCGTCCAATAATCATAACAGCAGTCCCAACAACAGTAATACAGACAACATAATAATCACACTGCATAATGGGCTCAGTAACGGTAATGGCATTGGGAATTCGAATGTCGATATAAATGACAGCGCTGTGACCGGCAATGGCAATGGCAATGGTAACGGTGCGGCCAAATTGTCAGCGCGCACTTACGAGCCACGCGAAAAGCATATCATCACGAAGAACGTCATTGTTATTGGTCTAGCGTTTATGATACACTTCACAGCGTTTCACGGCACTTCGAATCTGCAGAGCTCGGTGAATTCGGACAAGGCGCTGGGCACCACAACGCTCGCTGTCATTTATGGCTCGCTGATTTTATCCAATATTTTTCTACCCATGACAGTTATAAGGTGAGTGCGCGCGCATGTATGTGTGTGTGTGTTTGTCAAGCGCAGCACACAGTTAAACAGTTATTACTATTTGCTGAATTAAAGCTATGCGTTACATTTGTGACTTGGGCAGTGTGCGGCCAAGCGTTTGCGCTACAGATTTACACGCACATGCGCATATACATACAAACATATTTATTTACACCATAAATAATGTTTGTGGCGAAGTAAATTTCACGTCAGCGCTTGTATACCAAGCCAAAAGGCGATTCGAAATATACCGTTGATATTGTTATAGTAAATAGATATATTATAAGAATTATATTGTTGATATTGAAAAATATATTAAGCGAAAAATAATGAAATTCGCTTTTAAAAGCAATCAATTTTAGATTTCCTCATCAAACAGAGTATAGTAATGTTTTCTAGTCTTATTTTCAATGCTCACAATCATATTTTAAACGAAAGCTTGACTTTTGCTTTGCGCTCGAGCTTTACATATACATGCACGGCAGTCTATGTATTGTAATCAATAAATAAATTCGAGAGCTTCCGTTTCTTTGTAATTTATGTTGTCGGAAATGTTGGCATTTCATTCTTTTGTGCCTGATTTATGCTGCGCAACAAATTATGAAAATAAAGACGGTATTGCTTGCTTGTGTGTGTGTGTATTTATTTTTCTAGCAAGCTTTTAAAGCAGTAACTACCGTAAGTTTAGCGCGCCTGCACTAAGCAAAAAGAAGCAACTCATGGAATGAGCTGCAGAGAGTTTGGTATTCTTCTATGGCTTATTTGAGGTGCCACTTTCATGAACTATTAATACAAATAAGCAATTGACTCTTAAGGCACACTACATACATATAAGACACTTTGACATATTTATTATCTTAGTAGTTTAAATTACTATCTCCCCATTTGTTAGTGAAATTCAATTTGACATTACAAAATCTATACGTCCCTTCAACACACCCAATTTTATTTGCCCACACCACTTCCTTAGCCTTCGCCATATTAATTTCTTGACCTGAATTTCCTATTGTATAACAATAGCAATAAATGTTAATACAGATATAAGAGCGAAGCAAATGCCAATAAAGATAGCATTATACCGAACTAAGTGAAGCAGATGCTGAAATTTATTGAAGATTTTTAACTGAGCAACATCGGCACGGTCTTTGTGACTCAGTTGAGGATTAAAATGAGTAACAGTTTGTGTTTGCTTTTCAGTGTTAATATTTATATTTGCTTTTAGTGCAGCAAAAATATTTGTAAGTAATTCAATATAAATTTTTAATATGAAAAAAATATTCAAAAAAGTAAAGTAAATATTATTAAAAAGATTATATTAGATATTAAAACTAATTTTCGATTCAAACACAAAAATACTAAAAATATTGAAAAAAAAAATTAACTTCGCTTGTACCGAACTTAAATCCAATTCTTAGTGAGAAAAGGTGCAAAATTTCGGATCGATATCTTAAAAAACTGAGGGACTAGTTCGCATATATACAGACAGATGGACGGACGGACAGGCGGACATGTCATAATCGACTCAGCTGATTATGCTGATCATTTATGTATTTTATAGGATCTCCGACGTATCCTTCTGAGCTTTACAAACTTCGTTGCAAACTTAATATATCCTGTTCAGGGTATAATGATGAAATAAACCCAAAAAAATGTAATCATATACCAGTAATTATAAAATTGTGCAATAAACATTATTATCGGAAATCGAATTTCGTAAAAAGTTAAAATTAAACAAAAGAAAACATTAAAACTAACGAGCAATTCGCGCAAATCACTGATAGCAATACGCAATAATTACTATTCCTACCACCACCCCCAAAAATTAAATACGCTCCACATATGAGCTGCACACACCCACCGCTCCACTAGCCTAATGCTATTGTTTTCATTGCAACAACAACAATGTTAGCTTTCACTCATTTTATATATGTATGTATATATGCAACTAACTGTATGCCTTGTATTGCTTTTTTAATAACCTTTATTTGTTGATACAGCTGTTATGCCATGAAAGCGCCATGAAGCAGCAGCAGGCGGTTAGCAAGCAAAGCTAAACGACACACACACAAACATAAGCACACGCACACACACACTTGGAATGTGCCCCTGCTGAGGCTGCTAAGTGTGTAAGCGGGCGGGCACAACATGGAGGGTCAAAGTATGCTACAGCTAACATAACGCTACTATTACGTTTCGGCCCCTTCGGCACACTGAGCCGCTGCTGTGCAATTCGTGCAAATATCTGACACTTTGTTTGTCTGTTTGCATATTAGCTTTGCTGTTGTTGTTCGCTAGTATTTAGTTGTTTCGCATTGCTGCAGATACGCGTCGGTATTTTGTGTGGCATGTGCCTTCAATTGTTTACAGAAGCAGCGCAAGCATATAATCGCAAATTGTTGGACCGACCTATATTAATATGCTGCAATATTGCATGGAGGGATCAGCTTCTGGGTTAGGCTGGATTGCGTGCACTTTTGTGCGTGGATGAACTCAGAAATATTCTAAATAAAAACTAAGTTAATTTGCTTAGTGCTTTTTAATAAGGGGTGAGGTTGCTCAAAAAGGCAAAGCACATTTTTTATATTTTACTGAGTTACATTTTTGAAAATTTGCAGACCTTCACACTCCTCATGTCTCACTTTTGCTCATTTACAGTTTACTTTGAGAAACAGTATTAGAAAAAAAAGCTTTACACAAGCCCGGCTTGATATGGGAATTGTAGATAAAGTTCACCCAAGCAACGTCGAACAACTGTGGTTTTTGCGTATAACGTTTAGCTTAGTCATAAGAAATTCTCTACGCATAAAAATATAAGAATCTAGCTCTTATCCTAATATATAAGAGTTCAAACAGATACATAATTTTGAAGTCTTTAGTTAAGAACTCAATATTCAATCATACTCATACAACTATTAGCATGAATATTTATTTAATACAATAATATACTAGATAGTATTTGCGTGACACACTTGCTAATGAAATAAGCTTTTTAGATGGTTTGGCTGTCATCTGACCATGGCTTTGTCCTTTTTCGCCTATATGCCCTTTATTGCTGCTCAGTTTTATCCACGCTTCGAGACGCTTATACCAGCAGGTATATATGTTACTGTGTATTCTTAGAAACACTACAATTTCTAGCGTAATACTTACAGGTTTAATGGTCGGCTTTGGCGGTGGACCTTTGTGGTGTTCCAAGTGCACTTACCTCTCGACAGTCGCAGAGGCGCTGACTAAAGTGCGTGGCAATGAATCACGCAAAGACGTGAATACCGTCAAATTCTTTGGACTCTTCTTCATATTCTATCAAATGGCACAGGTTTGGGGGAATTTGATATCTTCTTCAGGTAAATAATATAAACTTGCACTTTTTCATTTCTTATAATTTTATTCCCGTTTTCACTTCCTCACACTATCTTTTTACAGTATTATCTTTCACCTCTTCTGCCGTTGTGGAGATGAATGCCACACTCGAGGCGCTCATGACGCCCTCACCCTCGGAAAGTCGTGTAAATGAGATTTGTGGCGCGCGTTTCTGTCCAGGCATTGGCGCTGAGGTGAATCCGAATTTGACCCCACCCGAACCGGCGAAAATCCAACTGCTCACCTCTATCTTCCTCATTTGCATGGCCATAGCTGTGGTGCTAATGCTCTTCGGTGTCAACTCGCTGAAACGGTAAAGCAATATTCTATTTCTAAGTAGCCTCGTCTTCTAAGTGCTCACACTTCGCTTTACAGCTATGGTGTTCGTCGCAACGACTCTGGCGACGGCTTGTCAGGTTTGCGTCTGCTCACCGTTACCCTAAATTTGTTACGCAAGCGTCGCCAACTACTCATTTTACCCATCACAATGTTCATCGGCATGGAGGAAGCCTTCTTGGCGGTGGACTATACGCGCGTGAGTATTGTCTTTCCACTTGCAATAACTAACTGTATTGCGTAGAGTTTATGCATTTTTTGCCTTTCAACGATTTCAGTCCTTTGTCGCCTGCGGTTGGGGCATTTCGAAAATTGGGTTCGCCATGATTTGTTTTGGCGTTGCCAACGCCATCGCCGCAGGCATAGCGGGCGCTTTGGTCGAGAAACTGGGTCGCATCACATTGTTCGTCGCCTGTGCGCTGCTAAATGCCTCGCTCTTCGTCTATATGTTTTTCTATGAGGCGCGCGAGGGTGATTATGTCATGTATTGCGCATTCGCGGCGATTTGGGGCATTTGTGATGGTGTATGGTTGGTCGTGGTGAATGGTGAGTTTGGTTGTTGTCTCTGCTAAATTTTGACAGCTCTTATTGGTTTCTCTCTATATATTTGCAGCTTTTTATGGCATTCTCTTTCCGAACCATCTCATCGCTGGCTACAGCAATTTCCGTTTGTGGGAATCGACTGGTTCTGTTATTGGCTACATAATCAGTTCACAGTTGTGTACTTCCACAAAGTTAGTGATATTGCTATGTGTGCTTGGCATCGGAAGTGCAGGGTGAGTTCATGAAAAGCCATAAAATATAATTGTGAATGGTGAAGTTATAAGGTGACGCCTAGAGGTAGACTTTAATATGCAAAGCAGCTTAATCTTTGCTGAAATTCAGCATATTCTTTTAAATATGTTCGAAATCCATGTATTTCTTTAACTACTTGTATTCAGCTTTTGTTCGTTTAAAAATAGACGTCTTTGAGCCCTATATCTATACTCAGTTTCGGTTTTAGTTAATTGAAAAGGGCGGCCGTATATGAATAGAGCGTGATCGTCTATTTTGACATCGTAGATTTTAGCAATAACTGCTTCGGGTAGGCTAAACTTTGAAAATTTTTAGTATTTTTAAAACTTTTTCAGAATTCGTGCAATTAATTATATATTTTTCTTATATTAATAACTGTTGGCAATTTATTTTTACATTTGAATATTATTTTTTTGCAGCTATGGCATCACCGAGTATCGCCTGCGCAGAAAGCAAAAAGCTCTGGAGCTTATGTTAAGTGATTGAAAAGCAGCTTACGTGTTGGTTTATGAATGTGTACGAGTATTTGCATTTTAGTGCTAAGAAAAACGATTTTGTTAAACATTCTTAAAATAAAGATTGTAGAAATAAAAATGTTTGTTTCAATAAAAATACTATTAAAACATGAAAGAAACGTTAATTGCGGATCCATCAAAGCAATAATAAGCTTCACAGCTGCATATACTGCTTCTACAGCTGGAGTCCGGTAAAATTTTCAATCTTACAGCAGGGCAATGGCCTGTTAGAATTCGCACAACTAGGTAGAGGCTTACCTTACTACAGGCAAAAGATCAAACTAGGTCTCTTACGATCGATCTTGGGCTAAAAGGGTTTTGCGCAAGTGCATTGATGGTTTTATGATGGCCAAGCGCTGTTTTCAATATAAGAACTTGATTTCTGAGAAATAAGCAGCATTTTGGGGAGCACGTGTGCAAAATATCAGATCGATATCTCACAAACTGAACTGAAAAATACCTGCTGGTTGTTTGAATAAAACTACATTTTCCGTTTATGTTCTTGATTTTGGTTTTTTATTACAATCCATTTAAATAAGTTCACGCATACACACGTATTTCATTACTTCATTATTTAGTTAATTTAATGTTAGTACAGTTTGGGGTCTTCATTTTATTTCATGCAGCTATGCACAGCGTAACATAACTACTTACTTAAGCTTAATTACATTAAACATATTTATGTTAATTTTTGTCTTATTATCATTTTTCGTTTGTCTAAATTACAAGTATATCGCTAACGCTAATGCCACGCGCTCGTCACTTACTGCTAAATAGTACGCTTTGCTTTAACTTTAAACCGTTATATTATTATTTCTCAATAAAATTACATAATTAATAGCAGAGAATGTTAATAAATATTCATTAACATGCTCTGTTAATACGGTACTTTATGTGGATAGCATTTCTGTTAGTAGGTTACAGCTATGTTATGTCATTTATGTTGATTACTCATAAACTTTTGAAACACTTATTGTTATGCGCTGTCTTATTTAATATTGCTAGTGGAAATAAATATTTTATAAATTGTTTTAAATTGTTATATCATTAAAAATAATTGAAAATTAAGCGAATTCATTTAATAAATGTCATATTTGTATAAATAACAGATTTTGCGTTGAAAAATATAATCAAATATAAAAATAATAGAAAAACGAAAACAGTTTAAAGTAAGAAATAACCGTTATAAAATGTACTTACTAACGCAAGCTACACTGTAAATAAAAATTAATAGTTGAAAAATGTCTAACATAATTAGAAAACATATTTTAACCGACTAAAACGTAAAGTTTAAATTATAAAGAGAGTTCAACAATTCAACTTTTAACGAAAATGCTTGGTGAATTAACAAAGTTATACTGTTTATTGCAGCTATAATATATGGTACACACTTAACAGCTTAGCAGCGTCACTTACATACATCTTAGTATTTTACCTTGCTTTTAGTTTGCTATTCGTATACAATGTTTAGTTGGACTATAATTTAATTGTTTGCTAATATTTATTTATGCTTAATTTACTTTTATTTTACTGCTTAATAATGCATACAAACAAACATAAATATTATGGTATAAACTGTTTTAAACATACACATACATATATGACACATCATTTACAATGCCATGGCCTAGTTGATTTAATTTAATTTATTATTTTCTGATTTAATAAATTTTTCGCAATTATTCGCGCACAAGTGCAGCACACATACGCTAAACGAACGTTGTATATTGAGTAGGAGCGTTTTAAAATTAGCTGCATTTTCGTATACTCGGCAAATACACGCCGCTGTCTTAGCGAACATAAACTGCGCTTGTGTTGTTATTGTATTTTATGCACCGACTAACATATTTACAGTTATACCGAGTGTGTCGTTTCATTTGTGATTCACTTTATTATATTTTCTTTCACATTTCGTATACAAATATATTCTGAAATACACAATACCACTCTCGGTATCTATACTTTCATTACATACTGTGGCGATTTCGTAGGAGGAAAGTGTGGAACACTATACTTTATTCTTACTTAATTTACTTTTTTTTAGTTCAAATATGTCTTTGTAGCTATAAAAATGTGCTGTACAGTATGCACATAGGCATCTATGTCTTTTTGGAACTAAAAGAGTCTTGTCTTTACACTGTTAGCACGTGTTGTTGCATTAGTTTAGTAGAAATCAATAGCTAGCCATTAGAGTATTGTGTGTTGCCGTGCTTAAGTTATGTAAATATTTTACAAAATTATATATTTAATGCATAACTAATGATTACTTGTTGCTGCTGAGGCAAATTGGATTAAATGCTAAATTAATTTACAGTTTGGATAGCAGTGTTGTGCCAGGCGATTTTTGTTTGCGCAGTAAATAAGTTTTCAAGTGAGACATTGCAACGGCGCGGCTTCTCTAAACATTTTAGGTTTTCGCCTTTGCATTTGCGCACCTTTAAAATGTACGTTGAAAGTGTTCGAAGTGCGCGTCATCCTACACCATGCCTTTGGACATCATGCGCACGGTGTTCTTTAGAGCCTGTCGCTTGTTGCAAAACCAGATGCGTATCACCTCGCGCTCATAGCCTAATTGGTGCGCCAAGCCGGTGATTTCGGTGCCTAGTGTGAGAAGAGTAGAGAGAATAGCGTTAGCAAAAGTTCCGGTGGTAAGTTACTGGGGCAATGTCATTTTCGAAATTACCACTCACCCGATGGATGTGTGTTGCGCTCGAAGTGGGCGTTAAGCAGCTCCAGAGCTTGTGGCGTAAACGAGGTGCGTCGCTTGCGCTTCTTTGACGGCTCCACGCCTATATAGTCGGTTAGGTGGTTCTGGCCAGATTTATAGCGATTCCAGTGACTGTTTTGAAGAGTTTAAAATGGGAGAAAATTCAAATGTTAGTAAAGAACGAGTTCAAGCTTGAGATCGTCGGCGTGTGGAACTTCTTCCATACTCTCACCTCTCTTCGGCCTCTTTCATCCAGCGCTCTAAGACTGGCTTGATTTTCTGCGCGCTCTTTGGCGTTATGTCCAACTTCTCAAACCTACGCGAAGACGGTGTCAAGTGGGGGTATTTCAAAAGAGAGCCGAATATTAGTAAATTAGAAATTTTCGCTTACATAAAGCTACAATTGTATGTAGGGGTGTGTGTATGTGTGTGGTAAGTATGCGCAAGTAGACTGTTAGAACTAACTGTGGAAGTTTTAAGTGCCAGGACATTGTCAAATGTGCTAAAAGCGAGCAAATATGTAAATTCACAAAATATGGTTTCAACGCCGCGACAATATTTCTTTTGACATATCTTCGTATTAAATTATTATTCGAATAATAAAAACTTTGGCAATGCCCTGGCCAATTGGCAATGACGTAAGAATACAAAAATAATAAAAAAGTGGCAGAAATGCGTTTGTCAACGGCAAGCGGAAAGCAAATTAATAAACAATTCTACAGCGCATACTTAGTTATAATTATTCTTTGTTGTTTTTTGTTGTTGTATTAGTAGTTGTTTATGTATGTAATTGAACTGCAATTTGTTAGTCTACCATCTACTTTTGTTAGTTAAATACTCATAGTAAGTTTCTATGATTCTATGTTTCTATGTTACGTTGTTAGGCGTGTGCTTTTTCAGTTCTTAGTGTGTGTAAGTAGTTTGGGGCACGTACATGTTCTGTTGCTGCGACGACAATTGGGCGGCGTACATCTGTGCGGCGAGTGCACTGTTGCATTTGTTTTTGTATTTAATTACATTAACATTTTTTTTTTGACGTTGCAGAAAGTATAAAATAAATAAATATATATTTCAGTTTAGTGACTTGTCTCTCAAAATCTGTGGGAATTTATTTGGTGTAAGCTTAAAATCAAATTATGCTTAAATGTCCTGGCACAGTAAAAATTCCAAAGAGTTTTCAGAACACAAGCGCAACTTTTTCTGTGCAAGTATGAGCATACAATTTTCAAACTTGCGAGAGTTAGTTTATTAAACTTCCGAAAGCTTTCTGATATTTTTGCAGAGAATTGATAACTTTGCGGTTCCACATATTTTCAGGAAAAATTTCAAAATCATTTCGACTCGTTATATATGTATATATATATATTTTGTATACTAAGCGTAAATGTTTTCAAACAAAATACTAAAAGAGCTTTGCCGAAAGTGTGCAAGATTCTTGTACAACATTTCCCCATCACTATGTCATATATTTTTCCAAAGCAATGCTGTAATGCGACGAATAAAGATTGAAAAAGCTTATAAATGAATAAGTGTTTGATCCGTAAAGAACTATTAAACCGATACCGCGGGTCTCTCTGCAATACGTTATTGCTCATAAGTCCACATTTATCGAATAACAATGACATGTTTAATTTACTGCTGTTCAGTTAGTTGAATTCTTAAAATAATATTCATGCAAAATTTTGACGTTTATTATAATTTTTGCTTGCAGCGTGAAATGTTTGCGATTTTTAATTGAAGCAACACCTAAAGCTTGCTGATTTTAAATTAGATTTTATCTTTGGTTACGCATCGCTCTTGATTTTATTATTCGAAGCTTAGTCTGTTGGCCATAGACTCAACAAACCTTTAGAAAAAGCTATAGAAAAGCTCTAACTACAGCTTTTGGACTGCCGAGAAGTCAACTAAAAGAACGCATTATAGAATGTTGCTTATTTTCGATTTCCTAATAGGCAAAAACAAAAAAACATATTTTTCGTGTGTTCTGAAAACTCTGTGCTCTTAAATTTATACATTTGTTTCTTGTAAATATCTTTGTAAGCTATTTTCATCTTACCTGCAAATGGCGCTCTGACTGTAGGCTGGTCCCTCGGTCACCGATAACGCCTGTCCCACTTGCGTTTGCGTGAGACCCAGCGAGAGACGTCGCAACTTGAAAGCTTTGGCAAATTCTTTAATCTCATCCAAATCGATGCCCTCAACCACATTGGTGGTCGCCTGATTGATGGTGGGCTCATCTATTGGGGTAAACAGAGAATCTTTGCATGAGTGCATGTAAAAGCAATGAAAGGTTTAAACGTTATATACTAAGATTCCTCATTTGTTGCACATAACTCTATTCTAATTTCTTTTTCAAAGTTTAAAATAAAACTTGCTTGTTCAAATCAAAGTAATTCACAAAATAATCTGGCGTAAATTCAGACTCGTCAAATTTAAATAAAAAGCTGTAACTTTTTATACCGCGACCCCGCCAAGAAAGTTAAATTGAGTTACAGTTATTCGCCTAAAATAGTTAGTCTCCATAAATAGTATTGAAATAATTGCAACTTCCACCAACTGCGCCAACTTTAATAATTGTTGCATGTGTAGTGTTGTTGTTGTTGTAGTTGCGCGCTCAGCTCAAATTGTTGTGACATTTTGGCAAAGGTATTGTGACGTGCAAGTAAACAAATACAAGGCTCGACGTTGACGTTAATTCGCAATTACCATTGCCGATGATAAATTGAAGTTTGCAACAACAAAAGCGGCAACAACCATGCGAAAGCTATACAAATTCACACACATATGCTGTTATCCTTGAATGCAAATTGCCGCAAGTCAATGAGACTTTGCAACCAAAGCAAGATTTCGCAATCTCAGTGTCAGTCCTACATATGCCAATATAAATATATATACATATATATATATGTGTGTGTAAGTGCGGATTTTGCGCTTCTTAGCACCGCAGCGAAAGTTTAGCGACTTTTTAAAGACACATTTACTCACGCTCCTACCTCTCGGCAGCCGTCAAATGGAAGTTATAAAGCAACAGCTAATAAACTTTGACGAGCTAGGCTTGCGGAAGCTTGTAGAAGGCGTGTTGCACGTGTAACGCATCGCATATGTTGATCCAGATGTGTGTGTGTGTGAGCTTGTTACCTGTTAGCAGATCTCATAAAATATGAATTCGTCAGTCGCTGCTCACTTGTTGTTACTTCACGGCTTTTGTTGCACAAAAACATTTCTTGATATCATTAAGGATGCAAGTTTGGCAACACACTAACACAGTCTTCAACCAGTTGTGTAAAGTCGTATTAAAGTTCATTACTCAATCAGCGTTTTTTGCTTTTTGAAAGCGGATTTTCGTGAAAACTTTTAACGTATTTCGCGAATGGTTTTTCAAATTTAAAGTTTTTGGGGAAACACAAATTTGCTAAAATTGACTAATTAGTATTAAAAGTTTGTGAGCATATAAATATTAATATATTTATCACTTTAGTTGGCGCTATATACCTACATACAATATTAAAAAGAGATAGTTATTGAGGTTAAAGAGAAGTAGAAGAGACAAATCTATGTTTTTACCACGAGTTTAGCAAATTATCTGTTGAGTAATCGCTTTTTGCAAAAATGTTTGTTTCCTAATCTTTAGATCTTAATAAAAGATTAGAGCTTAATCTATTGAGTTAAAAAAAAATCATTTTCGACGACAACTACAATATTATCCAGCCGAATTAAGCGGTGGAGTCTTCAAAATAACTTTCTATGATCTCCAAATTAATCATTTTTTCTTCAACAAATTTTCGCTTGGAGCACTTTTTGTCAGTGCTGCCCATCTATCCTATTTTTTATGCCAGTTGTTTGTTCCTTTTGCCATTGTCAAAGTTCTGGTATAATAAGCACCCGTCATTTTCTTACTAAGTAGCTGCTCATTTGTTGGGACGGCCGATATCGAAACACTATAGCATATAGCTGCCATACAAACTAGTAATTTAAGATTATGAACACTGAATGGAAGTTGTACACATATTTTACCTATTTTTCAATACAAGAAGCAACTATACTTTTAATTTGATGGAGCCAAAAGTTCGGCATAATGCAACTCAAATAGAGTGTTCCAAACCCTATAGTAGATTGCGCGGTGTCAAGTCTGAAGCAGTGGTTAGTGAGGGCGCACATTAATTACCACTCTCTCCAATTCACCACTGTGGACCTTCTTTGTTTTTTTTTTTACCAAATTTATAGTTGTTTGCGCAGACTGCACTGCTGGGTAAGTAGCGAATGATAGCTAATAAATCAGCGATTGACTGAAAATATTCCGTTACTCGTTTGCCTTTACAACTGTGCATATGTATGGGTGTAGCTATTTGCATGCCTGCATGTGTAATGTGTGGCGATGCAAATTTTTTATGGCTGCCATACTCTCCGGTCTTAATTATGTTTTTAAGCATAGTGGCGAATTTGCCAAAAAACAGAAAGAGGTTATTACACCGCGTTTGTAGTTAGAAATTTAAGCAAAGAGTGCCACTAGAACACCGAACACATAGCGCGAGTGCGGCGCAGGGGAATGACGTTGCTATAATAGGGAGTGGTTGTAATTTATGAGTGCCAAATATGCATTTATGTACGATTGTATGCATGTGTGAGCAAACTCGCTGCATAAGTGTGCATAACTATGTACATATGTATCTGTGTACATATTTGCTTGGCCAAGGGTGTGCGCCATGTATGTATGTACCTATGCAAAGAATTTGCTTTTAATTGGATCAATAATTGGATACTTTTTGCAGCTTTTTGCCAATTAAAGGTGAATATTTCAGCATATTACGGTACTAGAAGCAGATGTTTACCTCATATATATATATGTAGGAATGTATGTATATGGAAAAACGCAAATAACTCGAATGTTGTTGTAATCACAAGCGAAATAAAAATAAAATGTAAACCAAGCAGAAATTTATTATAGATTTCAGCGTTTGCCTGCGAAAGTAAAGCGAAACTTGAGTTTGGCTTTAAAGGGTGGCCAGAACCACAGTGTTAAGTTTTGTTTTATAGTTGTTAATTTTATTTGTTTGATTATTATTTTTGTTAAAACCTTTTTTAAAGACATTGTGAACATTTTTCTGAATAAACTAAGTTTTGAAATAATTTATTTTGTAAACAAAAATCGCTTAAATTCTAAGAAAGCAGTCGAAATTTCGCTTAGACAGTGAGCAGTTCGCAAGTTTTCCGAAAATTTATTTATCGCCAAACTGCAGCGCATATTCCGCTGTGGTGGCGAAGGCTGGTGTAACAAAAGCTACGCGATGTGCCATTTGCGCGACCAGCAACGTTCGGAAGCTGTACTTAAATGTGCGCATAATTCATGCAACACGCGCCATGCCACAACAACAATTATAGCAACAACAAACCAATAACAATAACTTGCGGCACACAATGTTTGCCTTAATTACTCCTAATTGACGCTTGCAAAACTCTAGTGCGCTATTGAAAGTCACAGCAGTCACCTCCGCCCTAGCTGCTACAGCGCCTAGGACGAGACGATAAGTTGTGGCTAAGATGCAGCTTGCTTCATTTGCACCACTCGTTTGGCATTCAAGTGGAATGAGTTTGTTTTTGCATTTAATGACACATTTCACTTGCAAACTAAGTGTAATAATAAAGCGACAACAACAAAAACAACAACAACAGCAATAACAAAGTGTTGCAGCATCACAATATTGTAGCAAATAGTTAGTTGAATTATTGTTGGTGGCAGCAGCTCCAATTTCCAACTACAAAAGCCTTGTTGTTGCTTTTATTGCAATCATTGTTGCTGCTAATGTTGCCATAATACCAAGCGAATACCATGTCAGCCGCTGACAAGTACCGCTGAGTGTTGCATGCAACGCGGCAATATGCAATAAGCTTCGGTGGCATAAACAAGCATACGGTTAGTAGTTGCTTAATTACTGCGCAGCTCAGCAACAACAACAACGGCGCAAGCATGTGGGCCGGGATGCGATGTGCCGTACAGCGTGGCGTTCGCGACTCGACTCGGAGACAATATGATGCTTTGCATAATGCTCGCACTTTTGTATTAATAAATAAATCAAAATGCACTCATCGACTTACAAGCATCTTACGCAAGCCATCCTTGCCGCTGAAGGCAAATCCGCGTAGTAATTACAATAAAAATCCGCCTAACAGTATTGTGGCAGCTCTTGCAGCGCTTACGGTGCATATAAATGAGGAGACCCAGTAAAGTACAACAATGGTATTGCTGTATGTATGGATCTGTTGCATGACATGAATTTTAGATATTGCAGCAGTTTAAAGAAAGGATCAAGATCTCCTTGAAAATTTCTCGCACATTTGCAATTTTCCCTGCTTAAAACTACCCAGCAGTAATTGTTGGTTTCTTGAGCCCTTAGTGATATATGAACGCAATTATGGTGTAAGACGGGTACACAAAGGCTACTATGTCGTAATAAAAATTAGTTTACTGATATATGAATATCCTAACCTAATCGAACAACTTATAAGACATATCAGGAAAAATTTTCAACAGCCATTTAAATGCCACTTAACGGGAATAATCGAAGGTTTCCTAATATGTTTATTATAGGTCTTAATTTAGTTAAAGTAATCAAAAGAAATCGATCTTTACTCACTCGGTGAATCCATTAGTAGATCGTGCGCTCCGCTCGAACCGTCGGTGCCGTTGGGAGAGAGTTGTGAAGTCGGTTCTCCATGGCCACTGCCAATAATGCGATCACGTTCACGTTCTCTTTCTCGGTCTCGCTCTCGCTCTCTTTCCCGCTCACGTTCGCGCTCGCGTTCACGTTGCAGCGACGAACTGGTTGTCGGGCTGAGTTTCATCGAGTGCATGCCATGGTGCGGATGATGCACCAAATGTGAGGCAGATGAGGTGTTTATGCCAAGCGACGACGAACCGAGGCCCGGCGAGGTGGGCGAGGCAGACGATGCACGTATCGCGGTCGCTGATGGCGGACCTAGCGACTTTGTGATGGTCAATTCACCATTTGCCGAGGCAGAAAGTCTGCAATGCAAGTAGAGGAGAATTAATTGGTATTTAAAATACATTAAGTTGCTGTAAGCTTATTTTAAGGCACCATCTTTGTGTGAGCCGATATCAATTTTGCGAGTTTTAATAAATATCCTTCACTGATACGCAACCATTAAAAGTTATTTTGTGGGCCCAAAGGCGCATATTAATTTTCCTCTTCTCTGTAGTCTAATTAGCACACCATAACCACACTTTGCAGCGCGCCACAATTGTTCTGTCTCGTGGCAGACTGTGAAATTTCGTACCCCTATGAACTTACCTATTAATGCTGTTGAGCATGCTGGCCGCTGAAGATTGTCCACTGCCCATGCCAACCGATGCACCGCCGCCACTAACGCCAATACCCAGTGGAGATGCCCTCATTCCGCCGCCATTTCCTAGAAAATCACGCTCATGCGGTGAGCTCATATTGTGTGCATGTTGACCGTGCTGTTGTTGCTGCTGTTGTTGTTGATGTTGATGATGATGCAAGTGCGTGATGGCTGCTACCGCTGCGGACGACGATGGTGACGGTGAGTGGGTACGGAACAATTGGCCAGCTGTGCCGCGCAAAGGAGATGAATAGCCTCTTTCGTTGGATGTCGTTGATGTTGAAGACGACAATACGCCGCCGGCCGATGAGACGGAAGCCGAACTTGTTGTGACGCCTGACGACAGAGTATGCGGATGATGGTGTAGACTGTGGTGTGCCTGATGATGGCTTTGGTGATGTTGATGTGAAAGATGTCCATGTTGGTGATGTTGATTGCCAGTTGCGGATACTGAGGCGGATGTTGCTGACGCTGATGCATTGATTGAGGATGAGTTGGTATTGGAAGCGCACAACGAACTTGTAACGGAGGAGGAGTTGCGACCGCTCACCGGCAATTGTGTTGAGTTGCATCCTGAGCCGAGTGTAGGTGAAGATGAACGTCTCAAATGCTCTCGTTCACGTTCCCTTTCACGTTTATTAGAATGATGGCTGAGGTTCATGCCACTGCACGCAATAGCATTGGGCCCGTTGTTTAGAGAGCCGCTGCCACGTGTAGGACTGCGTTTATGATGAGTTTCTGTGCGTTCAGCGCGTTCACGCTCCCGCTCTCTCTCCCTATCCCGTTCACGGTCACGGTCTCTTTCCCTCTCTCTCTCCCTATCCCTATCACGGTCCCGCAACGTCATTGTACACGTCGAAGTGGACGAGTTTGGACGCGGCGATGGTGTCGAGCTCGTCTGGTGACCACTTCCCAACACATTGCTGCGGTGATGAAAGTGATGATGGTGTGAACTAAGTCCAGGTGGTGGAGATGTGCTCACTTCCGGTGGCATATGCATCGATGTAACCGATGAACTTGGGTTTGCCGACTTTCCAATTTCCCGGTTTGGTGAGGCGAGCTCATCCACGGTGTGTCGAAGTGAGTGGTGATGTGAGCCGCTATGGTGTGTATGTGAGTGCAACGCATGATGATGATGATGACGCGGAGATGTTTCTTGCTTTATGTGCAATTGCTGTTGAAGATGAAAAGCAGCTGCAGCAGCTGCTGCCGCCGCGGCGGCTTTTGTACTTGACGACGAACCACTATTGACCGTTCGCTCTGCTCCGCCGCTGATGCTGTGCGGCGGGGGTGAACTGGGTGGAGAATGCCCACTTTCACTGTTTCGCGCTGCTGCCGCTGCTGCTGCGGCAGCTAAATGCAAATCGCCCGATAGCGTGTGCGAATGTGCCGCGAGGTGATGGTGCGGCGGAGGTGGCAGATGGGCAAGATGTGGCGGTGGCGCTGCCGATTGTTGGTCACTGCGTTGTTGCTGCGCGTGGTGCATGGCATGATGTGATGCTTGCGACGAGGCGTGCAGGTGATGATTAGCGGCGGCCGCAGCAAATAATTCCGGATGCAAGGCGGCTAACAGCTGTTGCACGCTGCTCGAGAACAGGTTGGGTTTAAGTAAATTCGTCTGTGTTTGCGCGAGCTGAGGCAGCGTTGAAGCGTGTTGCAATGCAGCGAGCGCTGGTGGTAAAGGTGGTGGCAAGAGTGCTTGTTGTTGCTGCTGCTGTTGTTGGAATGATGCAAAAGCGCCGAAGTTCTGCAAGAATTGCTCGTTGGTGTTGATTTGCGGACTCACTGGTATGGTCAGAATGGTCTGCACGGCTATGCCTGCAAAATAAAGAAAAATGGAAGAATTTTTGTTGTTACAGCACAAAGTCGTTAAACCAAAGTCTTAAAAATATTAAATAGTTGCCGGTAAGCAATTTGCTATGATTTTTCGGATGCCGCAATCGTAATACCATACTATGATACATTTAACGACTTAGGCTACAAACTCAGGTGAGTTTACATAAACAGTCTTTCATCATTAGCTTCTTCATACTATTAGCGAACTAAGTGAGCAGTAAGTACAGCAATTAATAAATACATATATACGCTACTTACCCTGTGCCGTTGGAATGAGCAGCTGCGCCCCTTGCACGCCCTGCACCAGTTGCCCGGATGCGAGTATCAGTTGCGGCATTTGGGCGCTTGTCGCTGGTGTCGGCATCGCGGGCGGAGGTGAGGCGGTGGCAGCTGCACCAGCTGCTGCTGCAGCCGCCGCGGCAGCCGCTGCTGAATTCAACACATTTGCCAAAGTGTTTTGAGCCATCGTCTGGGCCTGCACCGAACTCGAGTTGGGCGATGTACTGCCGACATTATCCTGACCACTACCGCAGCCGCCAGCATGTGACATGACTTTATTATTATTATTGTTGGAAGCCGCGGCGGCGGCTGCTGCTGCAGCCAACATATTCGAGGCGGACAGCGTGTTGGGGGAGCAGGGTGCACTGTGTGGGCCAGTGGCAACAATTGGTGGCAAACAAGCACTAATGCCACCGTTGCCACCAGCACCTGCGCCCACAGTCAAATTGAGTGGTGAGTTGAGCGCTGCCGCCGCTGCTGCTGAGGCGCTGATACCAGCCGCTAATCCCTGAAGACTTGCTAATGCTGCTGCTGTCGCCGGTGTGACACTCTGTGCCACGCTCACCGGTGTGGCAGAGCCGCCAGGTGGCGTATGCAAGTGCGGAAGCTGTGTGTGGTGGTGGTGATGCTGATGCTGATGCTGGTGTATGCCATTGCCGCCGGTGGAATGTTGTAGGTGATGATGTTGCTGCTGTTGTTGTTGTTGTTGCTGCTGCTGTAGCGTGGCTAAATTTTGTAATTTTTGTAAATTTATCATGTCTTGCACTGCAGTGTGTACGGTTACGGTGGGTGCATGGTGGTTATTATTGTTGTTGAAGTTGTATGTGGTGGCCGGTGTGTGCAGTTTGAAGCGTAGCGGTGTATTTGTGGAGTAAGAGGGTAAAAATGAGACAAGTTGCAAGTTATTAGTAAAATTTTGTGGTTCGGGCTTTGATGAGTTAAATGCAGTGTTCGTTGTTGCCTGTTCGAGGTACTTAATGACCCGTTTGTGCGCCCTTGCTACGTTCTACTCGTGTGCGGCTTGTAAGTTATCTGTGCGGCTGTGTGTGTGTAAGTGTGTAAGCTGTCAGTGAATGTCAATGTGCCCTGATGCCTCTTGGTTTGCTCGATTAGTTGGACATTTATGAGGATTCCCTAAACGCTTGCCTCATAGACGAGTTAATTGAAACAACTAAGGGTTCACATTAAACGAGACCGGGGACATTTAAAGACCTGTGAATTATATTTAGGCCTTATCTCAAGTTCTCTATTGAAGGAGTAAGTACAGACGAATGCTGCTCTAAATATATATACATGTGTATATGTATATTAATATGTAAACAAATAGTTATAATTTTGAAAGCTTTAAACTTAGCCCACTAGACTAGTCTAGTTCTAATCTAGTTTTCTTTACTCAACTCTAAAAAAGTGAAAATTGTGGTGTAAATTAGGACTTTCTATGCACACCTCAGAGTTTTTGGTGGATTATTTTACGAAAACCGTTGAATAACAAACTTTTTACTTAAGAAAAGTAGAGTTATTTTAACGCAAAAGGTAGTATGTAAACTTTAAAAAATGTTATTGAATATTTGTGTTGTTTTAGTTTTTTTAATTTTGATATAATTGGATTGCGATATGTACTCACTAGTTCCGTTAAGGTGCGCTTGCGCTGCCGCTGCTGCCACCGCTAAAGCCGAAGCGGATGCCTTCGCTTGCTGTTCGTGATCCTCCGCGTCGGACAAGGGATGGAGTTGATCGCGCGCGTCACAATCTTCGCCCACATCGGTGTCAATTTGCATCGGTTGCGGCGAAGCGGGCGGTGACATCTCATGTGATTCAGGCGAATGGCGTGTATGTGCGTCATTGTGATTTGCCAGCGACGCTGCCTTGGCTAAGCTTTGATAAAATTCCAGCTCTTTGACGTGATCCTTCTCGTAAGAGTTCTGATTGTGCAGCTCATGCAGACTATGATTGCTAATCGGTGAGTTAAGCTTGTGGCTGGTGATGTCCTTTTCATAGTCCTGTTTGGGGAAGAAAAAGCGTAAGTTGCAATATAAACAGTTACTGACTTTTAGTTTTTAATAATTATTTATAAATCTTAATTACAACGTATTAAAGACTATGCATACAGGCAGTTGTTGCATACAATTCAACATATTTCAATTCAAATCACTACAATTTATTTGATTCTGCTTGTTTAAATATCACTCATACGCACCGTAGTGCTTGTGTTCAAACATAAGTAGCCTAGCCATGAATAGGCTCTACAAATGACTACTTATTCGCCAGCAGAACAGTATCCGTACCTAGTGCGCATATGTGTGTGTGGCGGAATTCAAAACTTAACAGTCAGCTTACAACTGCCACATGTAGCAAGTAGCATTTCGCATTAAGTGACTTTATTAAATTATATTTGTATTATGTAATTACACAATATGTTTGCTGACACGCTGATGAGGCTGACAAATACACAGCGCGTACAGTGAGCATATGCAAATTCGTGTAAGTTTTCCCAATGTAGTGTGGTGCGCAGTGACGGATGTGTTGCTGCTGCTGCCAGTCTAATTGCGAATTTTCATAATTCCCTTAATAAGCGCGCGGCGCAGCGAGCTCACACATACACACGAACAGTTGGCGCTAATGTTAGGCTATGCGTCGAACAAGTTGTACATTTGACAAACTCGCCGATGTCAGGCGTAATAACTGGCATTTAATGTAATCTACCGTTGTCCAGTTGGCAGCTGTGCATGCGTCGTTGTGTGTGTTCGTCGTACAATGTTAGTAAGTTAAATGCAATTCCATACGCTTGTCTTATTTAAAGCTTTTCGCACGTTTGCATATTTCATGTTGCTGTTTATGTCGTTGTTTTTGTTATTATGTTAATTTATTGTAATGCAACTGACACTAATTCATGCAGAACGTGCAACATTTGATTGCCGCTTTTAATGCAGCTCATTTGAATACTAGTAGAGGATGTAAATTAATCATGTGTGAAATAAATTTAATATGGAACGATTGCGTACATATTAGTGCGGATGCAACACACTAACTAGCTGTTTGCGTGCTTTGGTAAGGGGGCAACGCTGTTTATGGTATAAAAAGTGACAAAAGGTTGGGAAACCAAAAAATCGCTTGCAATAAAGAGTAGTGGCTGGATGATTGGTGGGATCGGTATAACTGGACAGCGCAAGTCGCTATACTGGACAGTGTCTAGTGGTACTATCAATAGCGGACGAATACGGACGAATAGAAAATCCATTATGTTCTGCAATTTCTTGCAGTATCCAGCGCTAGCTTCGTTTCTTAGGCTCAAGTGCTCAGGTGACAAACTAAAAGCAGTTGGCGACTCGAATCTTTAGTTCTCTGTATGAAGTTTAAAGTTTTAGTGGATGCTGATATCTATCTTCTAGCGATCACAACATAACACTTCTCCCCAAGCCTTTTTTATATTTCTGACGCATTGAAAGTTTTTAGCTTAATCTTTCCTCCACATTAAGGAAAAAAGACTACCACGATATATACACATATTTTTCTTATTTATGCTCTTTATAATGTAATTATTACAGGTTTACCTAAAATAGGGCGAGGGATCTCTCGCGGATAGATACCCCCCACAGCACTTATAATGTGATTTACTTTGAATTTTTTCTGGATGTTCACCATATTTACATATTAAATTCTACCAACCAATATTTCTGCATTTCATCGATTTTTTAATACTAAAATTTCTTTATGCTTAAACGCTCCGTAGCTGCGGTGCTCATTGCGGCAATATTAGCAGCGCCATTAACGGTTTTAACGTTGGCAAGACAGTGTTTAATGCAATTATGTTAATTTCCTATGCAAATAGCCTGTCGCGCATTTAATTGCAAGCGCTGGCAAAATTTCCCACCTAACGAAAGCAGCGGCAACACCTTAGCGCCAAAGCAGGACCTTCGTGCGCGCCGCTAGCCATGCAGACGGACACCTAAACCAAATATCATTAAGCACGCGCTCGGCTACCTTTATATACATATATTTTTTTTTTTTATCTTGTCTCGTTTATAAGCATTTTTGTGCTCGGTAGTCTTGCTGGCCAGAACAGCTGTCAGTGTGTCCAAACGTTCCACGCTCCGCTCTCCACATGCCACTGGTAGTCGGGGGTGGCTATTGGGGTAATAGTGGCCAGTATTAATTGCCAATAATTACTATTGGTTTTGCCAAACGTGTCGCTCTTCACTTTTCTACAATTTATACGTTATTTTTTTTTCGCCAGCATTTCTGAAGCGCTTCGGGTGAAATGCTACCTTTTTGCAAAGCTTGCTTTCGCTTCGTTTGCCTTGATGCGACTTACTTTTTTATTTATAATTTTTTTTATATGCTTGACGCTCTTACGGATTTTCGTGTTTTCTCAACTTATTCAGCATTTTTTTCTGTTTGTTTTTATTCTTAATTTGCAGCATTAGCATTAAGTAGGGTATCAGTGGCGCGGGCGCAAAGCTGCGACGCTGCAATTAACAGCTGTGGCAAGTGCTGGTGAAGCGTTTCGCAATCAGACGACACCGTTGTGGTCAATCAAGGTCGGCAGCGTAAAAATAGTAAAATAAAAAGAAAATTGTCATCCGAGCTTTGCCTTGCCATCATACTCGCCGCATAATTAAAGGACAGCCGAGCTGGTTTGTTATGACAAGTGGCAGCGTTCTCTAAGTGGACAAATTGTGGGTTGCATTAATGGAGTATAAATACCTATTTCCATGTATTGCTAATTGTAGCGCGGCGGCAAGGTTCTGTCAGTTAACACAATTATTGTGTGTAAATAAAATAGAAAAATAATTGAATTTTATTTGCTTTGGAGCTGTTGGTATATGCTAGTTACCAAAGTGTGTGCGTTTCATGAAAATGTGAAAATTTGAATAAATTCTTGATATTTATCAATAAAATATGCGGTTAAATGTTGGCTGCTAAGAATTTTGTAGGTGTTAGCGGTTTAAACTGTTAGGAGCAGTGAAAAGCAAAGCGTACAGTGTTCTGTTTCACATAAGAACTCTTTGGCAAGTATTGAAAATATTTGCAATCAATGGTATGATTATTGAATTATGACATTATATAATATAATAACAAGTTTTTATAAACAAAAGTATGCGGCAATCTGCTGCAGTGTATTTTATAATGCCACAATAACCAAATAGTAGCACAAAGAGATCAGTACAGGAACTGTGTCTAAAATAGCGCAACCCGCAGAAGTATCTTGATTCACTTTTAAAAGCATTAATGTCAACATAATTTTCTACAGAAGCAACAGTCGATATATAGTTATGTATGTTGGTTATAAGTCTTCAATATACAAATAATTGTTATGAATTGGTAAGATATTGGAAATGCTTTTTAAATGCTCAGCAAAACGCCTTAATTCACTACTTCAAAGTTGCCTGCTTATCGGCTTCAATCAGAAGTGCCTGACACACACACATACACACTTTAGTATCAACTCGTCTACAATCAGTCTGCTCGTCGCCGTATTCAATTGAGCATTCGCAAATCTGTTGAAAAGTTAATTCATTTCACATCAATGCTTATGCCCAACTTCATTTTAATGTTGCCTCTTTTTTCGCTCACAATCCTTTCGTGGAGGTGGCGGTATGTCAGACGTGCCGATAAATTCAAAGACACACATGCACTAATATATATATATATATACTCGTATATTGAGCACCACACATCCATATGCCAGCAATAGTAATCGGCGTTGGTTGGTGACCGGTGTTTCTCCACAGCGTTCATGCCAACAGCCAGGACATTCACACTATTACACACATACATGCATACTTATAATAGTGCATGTTGGTATTTGCAACTGCTGGTGTTGTGATAGCGCCTGCAAGCAACAGCAAAAACAACAAGCGAAAAACTATCAACGTACATACAGCAACAGTCATAAATCTCAACACAGTTTCGATTTGTGCGCCAAACATTGAACTTTTAAGCGTTGCCACCACCAACACCGCGCCTATCACCAGCGCTGGGCAGGCCATTCAAAGACACTGCCACCATTGTACGTTTGCGTGCGTGTGTGTATGGTTGTGTGGCCAACGTGTCCTTAAAATACTTGCGCGCCGCTGCTTGTGTGCTGTCGGCTGATGGCTGGAGAGTGCAACTTTTCAAAGTGTTCGATTATGTGTCCAATCGCGCGTCCTGCGGGCGAAGAACCGTTTAAACACTCTTCTGTCCACGCAAACATACAAACACACACACACATCTAGGCATATGTTCGTTAACTATACTTTTTTGTATGTATGTAGTTTAAATGCGCTGTACAGGCAGAGTAAAGAATATGTTCGCTGACCGACGGCGTATTTAACTCTGGCTATTGGCCCTCAGTGCATATGCTAAGGCGCATTCGCATTAATTGATTTCATATGATAATTGCAATATGCACAAACTTTATTATTATTTTTATTATTATGCGTTTATTTTGTATTTGTTGCTGTTGCTTACGAAAACTTCTGTGCAGCTACGTATTTACACGTAATTTGGATTTTCCGTTTGATTTCGCTGCAAATGCGCCAAGAAGTATATTTATATATGCGCTGCAAATCGAAAGGCAAACAATTGCAGTCAATAACATTTATTTCAGTCAATGAGCTAATTGAGTGCATTATATTTTTTTTATAACTGAGTAAATATGCAGTAATTATGCAAAGCTAAAAGGTCAACGTGGACGCTACGTAGAAAAGGGGCAATGTATTGTGCGCCATATGAAAGGTATTGATTAAGTTTACAATTTGTGGTGGCTTTTGGTTAGCTATGAGCTTTAAAAGCTTGAGCTGCAAGGCTTTCTGCCAGTTTTTTTCAAGATATTTATAATTTTACTGATTTACTACCTGTTCCTTTGTCACTGTGAGTAGCTCTGCGTTCGTATTCTGCCTTTAAACTTCGCTAAGTTCAATATACTCATACCCTAAAGTCCTCTATAGAATTTTGTGGGAAATATTTTCCTAATCCTCATATTTATTGGTATCGATAGCAATCCGTTTCGCTTCAC